TTACATAACAGGTGCTAATAAATATTATTTAAAATGTGAGTGAAATATTCATGATTCAAAAATTAAAAATAATATATAAAAGATACATATAAATATATACCAGCAAAAGTTTCATTCCCACCAATTTTCCATCTGTCCAGTTCCCAACATGTTCATTAGTCTCTTATCTTTCTAGAGTTTCTTTATGCAAATTAAAATATATTGTTGTTCCACCAAGCTATCCTAGGTGAGGAGACTTGGGCTGAGCTGGCAGGGACTGGTGGGTGCTAGGCCAGAGGACCTGGTATGGCTGTCTCTCACTGGCTTTCTCAAAATGGCCATTGTTCTGAGAGGGCATAAATTTGTACATGTAACCTTGAAACATGAATTCCTGATTTCAGGCTCCATTATGGCGGGGACTCTAATATCCTCACCTGGCCTGTGTGCAGGGGAAGGCTCAGTCCCTCCACAGGAAAAGAAGGCCCAATCTACTGCTTCCTAAGAATGGGCTGGGCACAACAGGTTCTACTGTAACTGCCAAGTGAAGCAACACCTAACTAAAGAATATCAAAGCCCAGAGTGAGAACATTCCTCCCTTTCCAGTTTTCCTCCAATTTCTTCTTTTTTTCTTTTTTATTGAGACAGAGTCTCACTTTGTCGTCAGGCTGAGTGCAGTGGCGTGATCTCAGCTCACTGTAACTTTGCCTTCCATGTTCAAGCAATTCTCCTGCCTCAGCCTCCCAAACAGCTGGGACTATAGGCGCGCGCCACCAGACCCAGCTAATTTTTGTATTTTTAGTAGAGATGGGGTTTCACCATGTTGGGCAGGATGGTCTAAATCTCTTGACCTCGTGATCCACCTGCCTCAGCCTCCCAAAGTGCTGGGATTATAGGTGTGAGCAACCGCGCCCGGCCCCTCCAACTTCTTATTATGGAGAAAGTCTATGTTTTAATGATGGATTTTTAAAATAGACTTTTTAAGAGCAGTTTTAGGTCTACAGAAAATTAAGCAGAGAGTTCCACATATTTTTCTTCTCTCCTCTGCCCCTGATTTCTGACAAAGAGCTCCTAAAACCCTTGTAAATAAAGATGCTAGGAGATTCTTGTTTCCATATCTGATCTTTTTTGTTTTGTTCCATTTGGTCATTGACCCTGGTTTTGACACAGGGTCCTTTGTAATTTCTTGAGTGATAAGAGCATGTGAGGCTGGACAAGGTGGCTCACACCTGTAATTCCAGCACTTTGGGAGGTCAAGGCGGGTGGATCACTGGAGGTCAGGAGTTCGAGACTAGCCTGACCAACATGGTGACACCCCATCTCTACTAAAAATACAAAATCAGCTGGGTGTGGTGCTGCACATCTGTAATCCCAGTTACTCAGGAGGCTGAGGCAGGAGAATCGCTTGAACCTGGGAGGCAGAGGCTGCAGTGAGCCGAGATCGTGCCATTGCCCTCCAGCCTGGGCAATAGGACGAGACTCTATCTTCATTCATTCATTCATTCATTCATTCATATATATATAAAAAACAGCATCTGACACAGAACTCCTAAATCCCTTGGAGTTTCCCAGGTAATAAGAGCATCTTTTATTCTAATCAGGTAATATTTGGTGGGATCCTAGATGGGGGCTGGTTACCACAAAGACCAAACCATGATTAGAAGCTAATAACTTTAAGTCCTACCCCCACTCTCCGGGGAGGGGAGAGAAACTAGAGATTGAATTAAAAATCAATCATGCCGACATGAAGAACCCTATATAAAAATCCCTAAAAGATGGTGTTCACAGAACTTCTGGGTGGGTGCCATGTGCCAGGAAGGTGACAAGCCCCAACTCCATGAGGATAGAAGTTCCTGTGCTCAGGACTCTTTCAGACCTTCCCCTATGTACCTCTTTATGGCTATTCACCTTTATTCTTTGTAATTTCCTTCATAATAAACCAGTAAGCATATTTCCCTGAGTTCTGTGAACCACTCTAGTAGATTATTGAATCCAAGGAGGGGGTTGTGGGAACTTCCAATTGGTGACAACCTGAACTTGCAACTAGCATTTGAGGTGGGAGCATTCTCGTGGGACTGAACTCTTCACCGGTGATGTCTGGGTTAACTCCAGGCAGATAGTGTTAAAAGTGATGTGAATTAAGGGACATCTAGCTGGTACTGGGGAATTTGTTGATGTGAGAAAACCTCCCACACATCTCGTGTCAAAAATGAAGTTCTGGAACTATTGAGAATCGTGAGAGTACAGAAGCAAACAGTCTGTTTTTCCCTATACACCAGGTGCTTGCTTTTCCACATGAACTTTAGAATCACTGTTAATATCCATAAAATAACTTGTTGAAATTTTGATTGGGATTGTACTGAATCTACAGACCAAGTTGGGAAGAAACGACACCTAAACAATATTGAGTCTCCCTGTTTATAAACATGGAACATCTCTCCATTTATTTAGATCTTCTTTATTTGATCAGAGTGTTACCATTTTCCTCATAAAGATCTTGTACATACATTGTTAGATTTATTCTGAAGTGTCTCTTTTTGTTTGGTGTCACTATACATGGTATTGTATTTTTAATTTCAAATTTTAATTCTTTGTAGGTATATAGGAAAGCAATTGAGTTTTGTCTATTAACTTCATATCCTGCAGTCTTGCTATAATTACTTATTAATTCCAGGCTTTTGCTATTGTTGTTGATTTGGGGCATATTCTACATAGAAAAAGAATCAACAATATTATACATAGTCACGTCATCTGTGAACAAAGACAGCTTTATTTTTCCCTTCCTAATCTGTATCTTTTATTTCCTATTCTTATCTTATTGCATCAACTAGAACTTCCAGTATGACGTTGGACAGAGTGGTAAGTAGGGACATCCTTGCCCTGTTCCTAGTCTTAGGGGGAAGCATCAGTTTCTCACCATTAAAGATGACGTTAGCTGTAGGTTCTTTCAATAGATGTTGTTTACCAAATTGAGGATGTTTCCCTCTATTCCTAGTTTGCTCCAAGATTTTATGATGTATGGGGTTTGGATTCTGTCAAATGCTTTTTCTGTACCTACTGATATGATCATGTGATTTTTCTTGTTTAGCCTGTTGATGTGATGGATTAATTGGCTTCTAATAGTGACTAGCCCTGCATACCTGGGATAAATTCTACTTGGTTGTGGTGTTATTTTTGCACATTGTTGGATACAATTTGATAGTATTTTGTTGAGGATTTTCTATCTATATTCATGGTCTGTAAAGTCGTCTTTTAAAAATGTATAATAGGCTGAGAAATCTCAGAGCTGTCAGTCAGTTACACTTAAGTGGTAATTAATCAGATTATTGTTCTTCCGAAACCTAAAACTCTATCAATTGCAATGAGCCAGAGACATTACTGATCAGAGGGAAGACAAGGAACAATTAAGAAACAAGGTAGGCTTTAGCCCGTTGCAGTATCTCAAAAGCAAAAAGCTGTAATTTATACTACTTTCCTCAGTTTTTAAGTTTTAAATCAGAGGAGAAAAAAAGAAATCAGCCCAAGAAGAGGAGGGATATAAGATCTGAGTGGCTGAAATAAATTATTGTTCCCTTAAACTGGTTTTGTGAAATACAATAGCCTTGTCTGAATTTTAACTTAAAGGTAATGCAGTCTAAGCCCCAGGTTCCATAACTTGTATACTGTTTTATAAGTCAAAGATAGTGAGGCTCTGCGGTGGTCAATATTTTCTCTACCCAAGCCCAAGCCTGCTTCACCAACAACTCTTCACACCCCTATACTACTGTTATTTCTACTATGTTGAGTACAAAAAAAAAAGAAAAAAGAAAAAAAAAAGTATCTTATTTATAAGCTTTTTCTATCAGCAATCTCCAAATTGCCTTTCTTTCTTCTTTTTGTTAGGTAATCTAAACAGCTGAAAACCGAACTCCTTCTGCTGGAATAAATCTGATCTGGCATGTGGATAAGAAATAGGCCAAGGGAAGGCAGCTGGCTGTTCTGTGCCTAAAAGGGGAGAGGAGCTTTAACCTGCAGGCAAAGGGTGTTTGGAAGAGGAATTAGGAAGTCATAACATATCCTTTAGGAACAGCTCTGCTGCTGGAACCTGTGATGTCATCTGCTGTTGGCTTTACATGGCTAAACAGATGCAGAAAGATACCCTCTGAGGGTTCCCCAAAGTAACAGCAATTTAAAAACAGAATATAAAGTATGTTGAGTGGATTTTTACAAATGGTATTCTGTACTTAATGCTGACCAACAAAAGAGGACTGATTTATAATGTGGGAGTGTCAAGAGTTCTTCAGAGAAAGTGAATAGAAGAAATACAGGAAAGGAAAGCTGTGCAGTGTCAAATGTGCTAACCTTGAAGAAAATTTCAAAAAGTTTACAAAAAGTGTAAGAGAAAAAATTAGCATATTCTGATAGCTATAGTTTCTGAAAAGAACTCCACTTGAAAATGAAATAGCTAGAAATAGCTGAATAAATTTGTGGTTTTCCAGGAAGCTCAAGTTTTAAGAAGCCACTAACAAAAAAAGAAAAAGGAGCAGATGAACTAAGTAGGGAATACGCAGAAGTGGAACAAACACAGCCCACGTGTGCCCTCTTCATTCTTCCACTGCTGTCTGTCTGGTCAGATCTTTCCAGGGCCCGCTCAACTCTCCTCCACAAAACCTTCCTTCTCCAATCCTGATTATACTGACCTCTCCCGCTTCCCAACTCTGTGTATTTGGCAATTACTTCCTTGCCTCCCCAGTTCAACTTTCAGTTATGAGACTGCAAGGCCTATGTCACACACATCTTGGGGTCCCCAGAGTGCCTATAGTGCCTCCTAAAGAGCAGATGATAAATAAACATGTGATGATGGAATCAAAGAAGCCAACCAGTGCTTTTAGAAGAAAGGAGGCTAAAGCAGCTATAAAAAAAAAAAACACAGATTTTGAGCTTGCACTGTAAATTATACTAATACCCAATCCAATTCAAATCAATTATGTAACAAGTAGAATGAACAGGCGCAGTCACCTGAAATTGCAAAAATAGCACAGTACCTGCAGGAGACTTTCTATAGCATGAAAGCCTCGAATTAAATTCAGAGCTCCACATAAAAGACTAAGGATAAATCCTACAATCCCTGACAGAGTTGCTGGTTCCAGTCGCTGGTGAGCTGGAAAATAAAATAAATAGTTAGAAATGAACACCAATACCTCACAAATTAACTTAGGTAAAACAGAAATTCACTGCTCAACTTAAATGGGTCAAACAGATACTTCATAGAATTATTTAACAACATATATTCACAATTAAATACTGTTATAAAATGAAAAATGCTTGACAACATAAAAGCTTCATTTCCCTGAAAAATTAACTTTTCTCTTTTTTTTTCTTTTTTGAGACAGGGTCACGATCACAGCCCCTTACAAGCCTCAAACTCCAGGGCTCAAGTGACCCTCGTGCCTCAGATTCCCGACTCTCTACGATTACAGGCATGTGCCACTGTGCCTGGCTAATTTTTTCTTTCTTTTTTATTATTATACTTTAAGTTCTAGGTTACATGTGCACAACGTGCAGGTTTGTTACATATGTATACATGTGCCATGTTGGTGTGCTGCACCCATTAACTCGTCATTTACATTAGGTATATCTCCTAATGCTATCCCTCCCCACTCTCCCCTCCCCACAATAGGACCCGGTGTGTGATGTTCCCCTTCCTGTGTCCAAGTGATCTCATTGTTCAATTTCCACCTATGAGTCAGAACATGCGGTATTTGGTTTTCTGTTCTTGTGATAGTTTGCTGAGAATGATGGTTTCCAGCTGCATCCATGTCCCTACAAAGGACACAAATTCATCCTTTTTTATGACTGCATAGTATTCCATGGTGTATATGTGCCACATTTTCTTAATCCAGTCTGTCACTGATGGACATTTGGGTTGGTTCCAAGTCTTTGCTACTGTGAATAGTGCCGCAATAAACATACGTGTGCATGTGTCTTTCTTTTTGTAGAGACAGGGCCTCACTATGTTGTCCAGGCTGGTCTTCAACTCCCAGCCTCAGGTGATCCTCTGGCCTTGGCCTCCCAAAGTGCTGGTATTACAGGCATGAGACATTGCATCTGGCCTTTCTCTACATTTTTAACAAAGACATGTAACTTGCATTTGGGATAGACAGTGCTAAGGAATGCTCACAACTGGCAGCAAATCATTTAGAAAAAACTTACTGCATAAATATGTCTACTATTTGCAAGTAGGTGCAAGTATTTGTAAAGGTGACTTTGCTTGGAAATTCATCGAATAATCCTACTTTTGCTGAAAATGCTTAGGAAACATTTTTAAGTACAAACATAGCTTACTTTTAAACAAAACTTTCCCTTATCTGGGTTCTAGGGCTATATCACTGGATATGTGTGAAAGCTCATATATAATCAGCAATCTGAACTCCAAAACAGAATAGTCTTATAGCTATAAAGTTCCTGGTCCTCTGAATAACACTGGAAGGTAAAAATGATAAAACACCAGCTGAAGAAGTGACCATTTTATTTTCACAAATACATTCCCTTATCTTCCAGGGCTTTAGCAGCATAAGAGTTATACAATAGCTTCCCTTCATCATCATCTTACGCTTAATAGAATTAACAACAGGGTCTACATGAAAACACAAAACTAAATACATAATCATCTAGACCTCAAACAGGAGACAGAGGGAAAGAGAAGACAAAAGAATCACATTTAGAGTATTTTATTTAAATCACTGAAGTGTAAACGCCCTAACAATTAAGTTAATGAGGTGGAATATTAATATAAGGGCGGGCTTAAATCTCTGCAACTTATATTCAGCCATTACAGCAGAACATCTTCCCTAAACGGTTACAAAAACACAAGAATCCACATATCACAAAAAAGTATTTATTCCCCTAGTTCAGCAGAAAGTGCTTAAATAACATTTCCTTAAACTTCTTTGGTGCCCAAGCTGCCTGCTCTCAATTTCCTTGAGATTTTACTATGACAATAGAAAATTAAATGTCTCTATTCAACATTGCTTCCAAGTATCAGTAAAGAAAAAAAAAAAATTTCACAATTTAAAAATCTATCTAATTGGTCTATACATTAATTATGTTTTGCAGCCTCCCTCCCCACCCCTTTTCAGTAGTGAGTAAGGGAGAACTGGCCTGTACTAAAAAAGGAAATTCTTAATATAGGTCTCAAGAATAAAACCACCTGGCAACTGAATAGGTTACATAAATCACACCCCAAAGTATATAAAACAAGTTTACCTTACCAAAAACCTCAAATAATATTCTGTATTATAACTAAAAAAACCTTAGCTTTTTAAGTCAAGTAAGGTGTAGCCATTATTCAATGGAAAAATATTACCATTTTAGTGTATTGATGAATACCTATTTAAGAAATAAAAAATACATATATGTAAATTAAATATTTCTTAACTCTTAGCCTCAGAACACTCTTTATAATGATAGTATACCACTTATAAATTATTTCAAAATGACCAAAAATATTTAAAGGCATAAAAGCCTTTAAAAAGCATAAGCCTCCTTTAACAAGAAGACAGTACACCTTTGATGAAGGACAGGCTGGCGTTGTGCCAAATCACTGTGGGGAAGAAATTCTAGAGATTCCCCCACTTCCACCCCCACCCACTTCCCAGGTTCTGTGGCTTGTACCTTGAGAAGTTATCAAGAGAATACTTCATCTGCCCACAATATAAGAAGGTGACACTCCTTAAGAATAATTTCTCATTTTAACAAACTGAACTAGATATTAACCACATTTTAATGTATTAGCTATTTATGCTATTTTTTTTTTACTTCAGTAAAACAGATTTTAGATCCACTATTATCCAAAAATGCTTAATTTGGCACTATTCTAGGTACTATAATATTTGGTGTACAGTATTTGTAACAGTAACAAATGAGAGCCAGTGTAGAAAAACAATAATTTTGCTGAATCCAAAGCAGTGTCACCTGGTCAGTTTTTGTTTTGTTTTGCTTTTGTTATTATTGCCTTCTGCTACAATGTCTTTTCTTTAGTCTTCTTGAACCCAAGGATGGCATATTGATAACAAAATTCAATGTTTCTGAAAATGTACCAATGGTTTATGGAGACTCTGCAAAAGTTCCTAAAGAAGTAAGAATAAATCCCTTGGAAACAAAGGGCTATTGGTTTTCAGTAAATTAATATATTTATTCGGTAAATACTTTCTGGCCTGGTTCTGTGTCAGATGCTATGCTTTAGAAGATACAAAAATTGAATTACATGTTCCGTCCTCAAGGCACTTCTAGTCTTTTATAAAAGAGATAAAACAGATAAGTATATGAAGGTAATAAGCATTCTAAGCTAAAAGAGGCAAGGAATGATGAAGTTGAAAGATAAAGGGGAGGGTGGTGACTAGAACCAGGAAAGATCTTTGAAGATAGATAAAATGTAGTCAGGTACAAAGGAGAAGAAATGCATTCCATGTAGAGAAAAGAACGTGAATGTGATGGAGATGGAAATGGGAGAAACAAATAACAAAAGCATCAACTACTACTACTACTACTACCAACAGTGACTGCTCTCAACACTATATACTTGGTCTCACTTTATCCTTCCAACAACCCAATGCAGTAGGCACTATAATTATCCTGCTCCCCTTCCCCAGAATAGGAAAGGTTTAGGGACGTTAAATAATTTGCTCAAGGGCACAAAGTAAGTACATGAACTGGATTTAGATGCTTCTGGAATTCATGTTCTCAGCCATTCTGCTATAGGGCATTGCTAGTGGTTTGGTTTGGTTCAAAGCGATGTTTGTGAAAAGTGGGGAGAAATAAGGTCAGAAAGGGAGGTGGACACAAATTGATAGATAGTATACAATTCTAGGCTAAGAATTATGGAAAATTAGACAATGCGGAACCACTGAAGAACAAGAGTCTCATATGATGAAGGTTATACTTAAAGAATATTAATCTATTAATGGGTTGTAAAGAGATCAAAAGTAAGGGAGGGAGAAATAATATTTTTCTGAGTACCTTCTCACTAACCACACATTGTCCCATTTACCCTTCAGAACTGCATACTTCATTGATGAGGTAGAAATGACTAACTTCTCTGTGACTGAACTGGAATGACTAATTTTTCTGTGCCTAAACTTTCTCATCTGTAAAGTAAGATTAAATAAGTTTCTATAAGTCAGACAGCCAGAAGGACCATCTTCACAATTAGCACTTAGGTCTATCTGACTGCAGAGCCCATGCTCTTTCTACAATTCTACATTAGGAAGTTTGTGGGAGAGTCACTGCAAAAGACTGACTGAAATCAGGGCCTGAATCAGAATAGTCACAGTAGAAATGGGAATCTGAGTGCTTGGGAGTTCATTAAATAATAAAGCTAAAATTAAATAATAAAAAAAAAGAAATGGGGAAAAATAAATGAGATGTCATGGAGTTTAAAATTGTTAGACTTGGCAACTAATTAGATGTGGCAAACAGAAGGGGAAAAAATTCAAAGAAATGTTGAGGTTTTACCTCTAGGTGATCGGAAAGATGAGGGTACTTAGCAACAGATCCACAGGAAGAAACTTAAGTTCGATAAAAAATGGGGACATTTTAAACATCATATTTGAGGTGATGGTGGGCCATGTTTAACAAGCAACTGAAGAATGGAATAGCAGTAGAGTTGGAAAAGCAGAAGAGGTGTGCAGCTGAAGGGAAAGGTTTAAATAAGGATCAAGGAAAGAAGCAGGCCAAGGGAAATCCTTGGTAAACATTGTCAGAAGGGATGGAAGAAGAGTCAGGCAAGGTAGATGCAGGAGAATCAAGAGAAACCTAGGAAGGAGAGACCATCAAGAAGAAACACATGGCTAACAGTGGCTATAGATAGGCCACAAAAATCTGACCTTAAGGTAAAAAGTATTAGACTTACTGACCAGGAGATGCTAGTTAATTCTCCTTAAAAAAAAAAAAAAAAATCAGAAAAGTGGTTGCGGGCTTTTTAGAGCTCACAAATAAGTGACAACATGCAATGTTTGTCTTTCTGTGCCTGGCTTATTTCACTTAAAGATTTCCAGTTCCCTCTATGCTGTTGCAAATGACTGGATCTCATCTTTTTTACGGCTGAATAGTACTCCATTGTATACATGAACCACATTTTCCTTACCAAATTCAGATTGCAAG